TCTATCCTACAACAATAAAGAGTATTCATAGACATGAAAATACACACTTTAATATATCAATGATCAAATTAAAATTACAAACTACTATTAAATATTTTTTCAGAAATAATGAGACTGCAAGAGGATTCATTATTTAAAAAGCAATCGGATATATATGGCACGGCAAAAAGCCACTTCATACAATTAGTTGGAAAATATTCCACACCACAAACAAAAAAAGAACCTGCTGAATGCTCACAGTGTTGGTTTTGCTAAGTTGTCTCTTTACCCAGAACATGTACTTAGGCAAATTCGTGTAAACTCCTGGATATTTTGGTCGGCCACAGCCAACACCATAGCTGGTGATTCCTACAATGTAATATTTAGAATCTGATAAATAGCATACAAGAGGTCCACCACTATCTCCCTGAAAAATGAAAAAGATAACAATGAGTAGTGATTCTAGCATTTGAAAGCATGCATGCATAAAGGCTATCCCTCCTTTTATTTAGTTTTCTAGTGAATGTACAGCAGCCATGTATCTTCAGTGACATTCACGGTTCTCATTCCATTATGGCAAACTGAGAACAAAGAAATAGCTTTTCCTCATGGTGACATTAGTGTGCATTCCTCCTGACTTGAGTAAGTATGAAAATGCTGTCCCCACAGTAGAGCCCAATGTAGGCTGAGAACAGTTTGTCAGGATAAATTAGTCAATTTAACTCTCACTGATTATATTAGAATGAAAGCATTATTTGGCTGGGCTCTAGAATAGCAAAAGCAGTGGTAATCAATCTTTTATCTCAATTCACAAATCCCACATATAAAATTCTAAAATTGCATCAATTTTAATTTTCTTTTCTGAAATCTCCTATCTGCTGTAGTACATTTGTAAATTGTTAATCTAGTAAACGTAGCTTGATATTAAGTGCATGTGATTTGAGATAGATCTATGTCCATTTACCTGACAGGTATCAACATCTCCAGTTTCAGAGCCAGCACAGAAAGCAGTATCTGGTATTGATCCTGCATGCCAGTCAAATTGATTGCAAGTGTCTAGTGAAAAAATTTGTAGCTGAGCTTCTTGCAATATGAGGGTGCCTTTACCTGTAGGGAAAGCAATAGCTTTTAGTTTATTTATTTCTAATCTGCAACAAGAACTATGTAAAAATGCTGAATTGGCAGTTCTTGATCTAATGCTAACATACCAGTCCAATTATCCTATGCAATTGGGAGGATCTACACTATATTGCCAAAAGTATTTGCTCACCCATCCACATAATCAAACTCAGTTGTGAGCGAATACTTTTGGCAATATAGTGTATCTCAGTGGTGGGATATGACCAGTATGTCCCGGTACGGCCGTACCGATGCCTGCTGGGAGCATCAGGTACTGTTCCAGTACGGTGCTCCGGAGGGCCCACTGGCCCGCCCGACCTCCTTACCTGTATTTGAGCCTATCGGGGCTTTCGGGCTCGGAGCGAACGATGCCTGTGCGACATTCCGCTGAGCAGCTGGAATATCACACAGTGTCGTATGCGGTAAGTACATATGCGGCTAACACGTGTGTTGCACGTGTGCCTATAGTGGACGCCCAGCTCCGTTGCACTATACCTGTTGCACTGGGATCTGGAACCCACCACTGATCTACCTCTATTTTTTGGAGTATAAGATGCACCTTTTTCCCTCCTAAGAGTGTGAAAATTTGGGTGCCTCTTATACACCAAATGTAGACCCACCCACCCACCCACCATGCTCCACACTTTGGCCTCTGCCTCCCAGCAATTTACCTCCTTGCAGCAAACTGAGAAAATGGGGCTTGCTGAGGCAGAAATAGGCTATGGCAATCCCTGCAGCCTGAAACAGCTGATGTCGGAGGCCCCCTGCTTAAATTGAAATTGAAAGTGAAGCTTGCTGTTTGCTGCAACAAGGCAAATTGATGGGAGGAAAAGGCAGGTTTTTTTTCTTCTAATCAGGCTAAACTGAAACAGGCTGTTTGCTCTTTGCTGCAAGGAGGTAAGTCAATAACTACAAATGCCTATATAGAATGTTCAAATTATTACTTATTTTTTAAAAACTGCTTTATTATTGACAACCTAACAAAATGATGCTTTTTAAAATAAATGCTTGATCTGAAGAAACCCGGTGCCTCAGAATCTGAGTCTTGTATTGCTCATGAGTTATTTGTGTCAATCATTTGATACATTTAAAAACATATTTACTAGAATCATTGGGAACAAAAATGTGTTTCAATAAAATATTCATTTTAATGGCTACAATTCTAACCAGAACAATTTTCTCTATCTTGAAATGTCTACTGTTACGTATTTCCAGAATTGTGAACAGGTCTTCATTATTACTAAACTCCTATTTAAGCATTTTTGCAATAGTACAATGCATAATTAGATGGAAATGTTTCTTTTCTTCCTCTTTAGTTTACATGTCAGAATTTGAATTTTCTTTTACTGATCCGATAATCTGACAAAACCATATTGCTGTACATAGTCCATTTTAGTGCTTTTGCTGGGTAACTCTGGGTACAATATCATCAATGTTTAATTCCAATTTATATTCAGAATACAATAAAATCTTAGTATTTTAACTTCTCAAATTTTATTTTCATGACATATTATCCTTTTGCAAAAAGGACATAGTAAAGAGGAACAAATGCCCTGCAAACAGATCATTTTTAAAAACTGATATCTAGGAAAAGATGTGAGTAAAAATTATCACATATTGTTTATATCAGTCCTTCCCATGTTATTATTTTCCAGAAGTAGTACATACAACTCCCATTATATCCAGCTACCTTGACTCTGTGTATATATACATTTGAAAATCCTGAAATGCAAATCTGTGAATATCAAGTATGTCTAACTAAGAATAGTATCTAAAAGGAGCTCCCTCCTGATTGTACTTTTGTGTGTGTAATATAAGAGAGAAACAGTTGACTGTAGTGATTAAAAGCACCAAGCTAGAAACTGGGAGACTGAGTTCTAATTCCAGCTTAGACGAGAAGCCAGCTAAGTGACATTGAGTCAGTCATTCTCTCTCAGTCCAAGAAATAAGACAACCACAAGCCACTTCTGTAAATATAGTTGCCAAGAAAACTGCATGGATTTTTCCCGGCAGTCACCAGGAGTCAGAATAATTTGAAGACCACCACGCCCGCCAAATATTATTCTCAGTGCAAATAAACTTTTTGAGGTCACTAAACTCATTTTAACTTTTAACAATACGTTATTTAAAAGCAAAAATAAAACACTTACCTTTTTCTTTATTAGTTCCCCACCCACTTATAAAACATTTCATTTCAGAAGTCAGGGCAAGATCAGCATTAGGCAAGCAGATGGGCTGAATATAGTCATTAAATATGACAGGTTTGCTTAGTTTAAACACAGCAATATCATCTTCATATTTTGCAGAATTGTAGTAATGAAATATTTTGATTTCTTTTATGCGTTTTTTTATAGTATGTGTTTTATGTTTGAAAAGATGATGCAAGCCAATCACAGCCCTCCACATCTCTGGATCCCTAGGAGAAAATAAAGTATCTTTAAAAGTTAGCAATTATTATGTAAATGTAATTCCATAGAGATGAAAGGTTTACTTCAAAATGTGTGCATGGCTAATAAGCATGGAGCCAGGTTTTATTCAGATGATGACAAAATGGTAGGCTGTTATAGAAAATACAACCAGTTTAAATAGTCATTTAGACTGACTAAAATGTAGCATTTGCAAAATCAGATTCAAACAATTTATTGCAATATTTCTAATTCAAGAATTCTCAAATAATGTATCTGAAATTTATAATTTAAAATGATTTTATATAACCAACTTTCTCACAACAGTAAATCTAGGCAGTGAACAAAATATTATAAACCAAAACAACCAAAGACCATCAATATAACACATGCCCAAGATCTAAGAACATACTACTGTATATTCACAATTAGTTTAAAAAACACCCACCAACCCATTCAACAGCAGAGATTGCTTAGCATCAATGTCTAAGGGAACAACCAGGTTTAACTGCCTTGTGAGAGAAAAACAGAGTGGGGTCCAACTGGATTTCCAGATAGATGGTGCCTCCCTGATCCAAATCTCCTGAGCTGTTCCTGAAGGAAGTCGTGGTTGATAGCACTGAAGACTGTTGAGAAATCAGTAAGGGCCAGGATTAATTCATGACCCATCAGAGGCAATTAGCAGGCACATCCAATACTATCGCAGTGCTTCAACAAGTCTGAATCCTGAGTGAAAAGATAATTCCTTCATCCTGAGCTTTATCCTGAAAAGATAAACTTTATCTTGAAAAGATAAAGTTGGAGATTGGATTAAATTTGTCCAGTTCCTTTGGGTCCAGCACGGGCTTCTTGAGAAAAGGGTACACTTCTTTCAAGATCAGCAGAACCACTTCATCTTATAAAGAAGCATTAACTACCAGATGGATCCAACCACATCACCTCCCATATCTTACTTAACCGAATTAATTTTAGAACATGTCAAAAAGGTGCAACGGTATTGGAGATCTATTGAAATTGCAAATGAACGCCAGTAGGTTCGAGCAAACCGGCTGTAATGCTGGCCAGAACCCACCCCAGCTGCATTGGCACCTAAGCGGGCAGTATTAGTCAATGATCAGGGGAGGCAGTGTTCCAG